TCTCTCTCTCTCTCTCTCTCTCTCTCTCTCTCTCTCTCTCTCTCTCTCTCTCTCTCTCACTCACACACGCACACACACACACACACACACATCCTCATCTAAGAGTTGGAGGAAGAACGTGTGGGAGGGTCCTCTCTCTCTCTCTCTCTCTCTCTCTCTCTCTCTCTCTCTCTCTCTCTCTCTCTCTCTCTCTCTCTCTCTCTCTCTCTCTCAAAAGCTACTTTTTCTGCAGACGGAACAAAGGCCTGGCATTTTTAAAACCTTACCTCCGAACAGAGGCCCATACGGACGCCCAAACTGGCACAGCAGGTAATTGTACAGATTTGATAACCAACATCAGTCCGTTGACGAGCAAAGAGAAATCAACGAACGCCATCTGCATAAATGCTAGACGAGGGACGTCTTTTTCAGAAACGCCCCACGATAAAACTTGCCCACATGGTTGTTCACCACCACCCCGTCCATCAAGCGCGACCCCCTCCATAACCTGCGACAAATAAAAGCCATCAATCCAAGCTTGGGTGTCAGATAGACATCACAGATACGTCTGAAACATCCCCTTTCCAAAAACCCCGTTGCTGCACGTTTCTGCTTCTGCTTCTGCTTTTGGAACCCCGTTGCTGCACGTTTCTGCTTCTGCTACTGCTTTTTTTTTTTTTTGCTTCTGCTTCTGATTTTGCTATAGCCTTAGTGGTTACTTCTCACACACGTCTGCTATATATAGGGTCTATGTAGTTGCACCACTTGCCATCTGCCACAATTCTGAATGAATTTGGAAGCGAATTTGTCCTGATGCATTCGAAATGCTTGTCCGCAACAATTCTGAATGAATTTGGACGGAAATTCGTCCTGATGCATTCAAAAATGTTGGCGGATGCCGAGTTGTGCTACTAGGCCCATAGCCTCATGGGTTCCCCGCACGACACAGTCCCTGAGCACCGAGGCACAGTAGAGGTATTGGGAATAAGGAAGAAGAGGCATGGGACTTCTGCTCAAGCATGGGCTACTTTTTCCAAACAAACATTGTCTTTTTTACTTTTTCCAAACAAAAATTGTCTTTTTTACTTTTTCACCTAGTGCGCTACTTGGAGAGAAGGTTTACCGAGACCTAAGTTTTCAGACAATTGTCATACCATTTATTTATTTTAAAATTATTTATAAGAAAAGCCCAAAGGCCCTTTTAACCAAACTCGGAGGTCCCCCTTAACCACTTGTGGGGGAAACCGTTTCTTCATTTTAAAGTTTAAACGAGCTTCAGAGTTGTACAGCAAAGTCCTTTATTTATTTCCGTGATTTTTTTTTTGGGGGGGGGGTGGGTGGTGAGGTGAAAGTGAAAGACTCGTAGTGAAATGTCTTTTTTTTGGGAAATACACATAACCACCAACTGGCCTAGCTGGCCTTAGGGTCTCGCCGCACAGCACAGGAGACGAAAACGAAACGAGTGCATCTGCCCACCAAAGGTAGCAAAATGCACTCGTTACTATTTATAGCAAACCAATGAACCTGGCCATTTTATGGGGGAAGATACATTCGTTTCCTTTTTCATTTCGTGTGCCGCCCTTACTCAGCTAGGCCAGTTGGTACACTCCGGAACTGAACTGTTGAAATACAGACCCGGGTTCGAACTCCACTGGAAGCAGACAAGTAAATTTCTACAAATTCTGAATTACCTACAGTCGTCCCCCGAATACAGCACACGGTCATTATAGCTGAATTTGGGGCATCTTTCAGTCTAAATTCAGCTATAATGACTGTACGCTGTATTCGCAGGAAGACTGAAGGGCCGCTCAACTCAATGCCCATATCTCAAGGCCATCGCCCTTTTAAACCCCACCAGTCCTTCCTCAAGTCGTGCCCGTTAACAAGCCACGACTTTAGGAAACGTACGTATGGGCCACCACAGGAGCGTCAAAATTCATCCGACTAGAAACAGTTCTACTCTATTTTTTTCCTTCAATGGCCGATAGCTGGGCCAAGTACTGGTGGTTTAAAAAGAAAGAGAGGAAACACGCACAATCCGAAAAGCCTGGTTTTCCTCGTAATTGATAATTCATTCAGCGAAATGGTGTCGATTCAGCAAAATGGTGTCTATGCAACGAAATGGTGTCGATGCAGCGAAATTGATGAAGTTAGATAAGCCCATATTCGTGAAAAGCTACGTGACCACAGTGGCCCGGGACCACTTGCCCGGCCGGGCCAAAATGAATAAAAATTTAAAATTAACCTTTTTTTTCCCATTTGGCAAAGAGTTTCGATGTGACCCTGAGGGAAAAGTTGTTCAGTTTTTTTTTTTTTTTTTTCTGCACAACGTGGTCTTTTCCCACATTTCTTGGATTCTTTTATTTTATTTTTTTTTAATTCCGGGACCTTCCCTGCCCCCTTGCCCGCCCGGGTCGCCCCAGCAACCACGCTGACCTGGGCGCCCCGGTTCGTAACGCAGCTGAAAAGCGTTTTTCAGTAATGTGTGAAGTTGCTGGGTCAACGAAGGAATAATAATTTAATAAATAAATAAAGCTTCGATTTTTTAAAATAAATAATAAATCAAATAAAATGCATGCCATCGTTGTTCCATTTTCCATTTCCATTATTTTTTCACTTCAATTTGTTTCCTTGACCCCCCCCCACCCCCTCTCCCCTCCAAATTCGTCAAGTTCGCCTCTTTCTTCTAGTTTACCAGTTAGTGGAGACATCTCCAAGGTGCAAATTCCATTGACTGATAAACCCTAGATTCCCAAACCCAAACCCACACCAAACCAAACCAAGGACCCAAACCCAAACCCAAAACCTAAACCTAAACCCACACCCAAATCAAAACCGAAGACCCAAACCCAAACCCAAACCCAAACCCAAACCCACACCAAAACCCAAATCCAAACCCACACCCAAACCCACACCCAAACCCAGAATCCGGACCCAAACCAAAAAGCCAAGCCCAAACCAAAGACCCACACCCCAACAAAAACCCAAACCCAAACGGAAACAAACACCCAGCACCAAAGGCTGCGCCTTTCCTGCGCTACCTAGGGCACTTTATCCGCCTTATCCGCACACGATATCACGACCATTGCCAAAGGCTGCACCTTTTCCTGATCACCATCATTGTACGTCTTCCATCCCGCTTAGCCTCGTCAGGCCCACCCGCAGGCACACGAACTGCGTCGTATGAATCGACCCCAGACAAACCCTCTCTCTCTCTCTCTCTCTCTCTCTCTCTCTCTCTCTCTCTCTCTCTCTCTCTCTCTCTCTCTCTCTCTNNNNCACACACACACACACACACACACACACACACACACACACACACACACACACACACATATTGGAAAACGAATGCTGTTCTTAGCGCTCTTGCAGCGTGTGGCGGTCATGACCGGCGCGACCGACTCATCCGTACAAGCTACAGGTATCCCGGTACCGTACAAGCTACCAGAACCTCTGTAAGCTGCTTTCTCGCCGCGGTTGCATCAGATGTCAGATGTTCGTGCGGTTCCACGACGGATCAGTAATACTATAGCATCACGCCTGTTGTTGTTTCTTTTTTTTTTCGTTTGAAAAATCATCCTTGCGCAGGGCCTATGCTCATCTTCCCTGTATCGTTCCAATTTTAACTCATGTGAGCTTTCTTGATTTGTTGTTCTCCACGTCTTCTGAGTGTCCAAGGGACACACCGAACCTCAGGATCTGAGGGTTGAAAAGCTATACTTGTTCAAGTCTTGAATATAATACTAATGATTTGACTATTGTTTCCCAACGTTAAAAAAGAAAAGAAAAAGAAAAAAATCATCCGCCAGCAAAAAAGAAAAAGAAAAAGAAAAAGAAAAAGAAAATAATCCGCCTGCCTGACACTAGTACACCACTGCGGTGTGATGAGCTCCTACGCCGTCTTGCATGGCAAAAAGTATGGCAAAAACCCTTACATACATACACGTTAGTATGGCAAAAACGTTTACATGGCAAAAACGGCAAAAACGTTTATGTATATATTGTCACACTGTGAATCAGAGCGCAGAAGCGAAAAAAAGGAAGAAGAAAAGAAGAGAAAAGAAAAAAGGGGGAGAAGAAGAGGTAAGGAAAGCTCCACCTGTTCATAACCTCTTACGTACAAGGCCAGCCATATCCGCTAGGCGGAGGGATTGGAACACACGTTTGCATGGCAAAAACGTTTTATGTATTTACCCACACGCCAGGCGGACTCGAACCCACGTTTATGTATGTCACATAACGTGTACGTAACATAAGCTGCTTTTGCCATGCAATGAACCCACGTTTGCATGGCAAACACAGCTCACGCAGGTACAAACTCGGATAAGGCCATTAACACGTTATTTGATTCCATCCATCCGCCGCATGGTGACAGATATGGTAGACCCAACCGACAAGTCGGTGGTAAATTTCATTCCAGTTTTAGTTGTTATTTTAATTTTCATTTTTGGCTTAGTTCAACATTAGTACTACGTAGTAGGTTATTAATCCTCATATCATATTATTCGATCGTCAGTATTACTCCTGTGGGGCTTTAACGTTGACGATCCTGGTCGGAATGGTCGCAATTTGGGCGTTTTTTCAACCAAACGAAATCGTAAGGGCTTACTGGGGTTTGATGATTTCGGATTAAAAAACGCCGAAATTGCGACCAGGAACGTCGAAGTAAAATGCCCTCAAAGGGGTATTACCATCATTATTACGTATTTTTTACAAGGGATGGACCCTGCACACGTGGCGCGCTCACCTCGCCCTTATATATCGTCACAAAGTTATCAGAGCGCAAAAGCAAAAAACAAAAGAAAAAAGGAAACACGAAAGATATAAATTCATTTTTTTGCCGTCTTATACCTGTCTCTTATACACATCTAGATGTGTATAAGAGACAGGTCACGCTCTACACATTACTACTCCCTTGTTGTCTGTTAATGTGAAAATCCCTCCCAAGCATTCTTTCCATGGCTGAGTGGGTGAGAAAGGGCAGGGAGTTGGCCGACAACCCCTGCTTCCTCCCCCGGCCGCTTCTTCCATCATCGCATCCTGTTGTCGGGATTGCAACAACCATCAGGGAGTTGG